ATTACCCTTTATAACCCACTATTTCATCTCTGAAAATCATCAAAAAAAATCTTTGGGCACCGAGGTATTTTTGTCGTGGATGCCTTTTAAAATCTGCGACTGCGACAAGTTTCTCAACTAAACCTGTCACGCAATTCTTGCTATAGGCGGTCACTTGACAAAATAAACCTATATTTTTTGCTCTTCATACAAGATGATTGATCAAGAAAGGTGAAAAATGTGAAAAACTTCCGAGATTTTTTTTTGTAGGAATGGCAAATTTCACGTTTAGAGAGACGCATGTAGGCGAAAAATCGAAGAGGCTCAATAGTAGCTACTATTTGGCTCAATAGTAGCTGTACCCTCTCCTGCAGTCTTCGTCTAAATTTTGCAAGGTCCCTCCTTATCTTCTGCCTTGTTCGGTCAGTTTCGACTTCTGAAGCTAGATCATTGGCATCGGCCTCTTCGTCCTCATTCATATTTACAGAGGGGGTCCTCGTCAATAAACCAATTTTTGTTACAACAGATAAGCGGCTGAAGTATCGAGCGATTTGCTGCTGTATCAACCGGTCAGTCTTAGACAACATTTCTGACTGGTGTCGTCTTTTAAACTCGATATTTGAGTCACATTAGAGGCAGTTGCCTAACTAGTTTCCTCCCCTGTCCAGCACACGTCTAGGAGATAATTCTTTGCTTTCTGAGAAAAGGTGACTGTTTTTTGTGTTTTCCAAAGAGCCCATCCAAAATCCACTTGGCTAATTAGGGATTGTTCGTCAGAATTTTACCTGAGGTCCGACCTTGAACGTAGCCATCTCTTATAGAATGGCAAGCCGGTGTCCCAGCGGATTTGAACCCTCCTAGATTTGGACCCCCCTCCGCGGATTTAGACCCCTCAACAAAACTGAGTGAAAACATCATCCTTAACGTTATAGTAAAAATGGATGATACTTTACGTTCCAGAGCGTACTAAAGTATGTTTTCAATTCAAAACATGCGTATCGTTAATGCATACGAAGTAGCATCCCGTCGGATGTTTCTTTTGACCAAGGGATAAAGGGAAAGAATTTAGTTTAATGTCTGGAGAGAGGTCGTTTTTGAACCTTTTCCGCGATAGTCGAACACCGTTAGATTCAATAAGAAACAAACTTGTCACACTAATTTATTTTGTCGTTGTTCAATACCCGAGTGTTGGGTCGACATGGTACAGTGCGAGGGATTTAAGACTGCCTCGGAGGACGAGTGGCTCTGCATTGTCTGCAGATTGCCAGACTCTAGACGTCTTCGTAATTGTTAAGGTATTATTTCGGATCCCTCAACAATTAATAATCGTTAAAATTAGAAAATAAGATTGAGTTCGATGTAATAGTCTCCACTTTCGTTAAGACGTTGACATTAACGTTGATTTGCATCTGAGAATAAGCTGAGAGTTTCAATAGTTCAGAATAGAAACATTTTTACTTATCATAGGCTTTACGAACGACTTGTAATACGAGTAGTTTCTTTGTTCTTGTTCAAAAACTGTTTAATGTTATTATTTTAGAAAATCAGACTGAGTTATTTTACTCCACTATTGTTATGACGTTTCGTACCAATGTTGATTCGCATCAGAAGAAGCAAAGATTTATTGTAACAATTTCAATAGTTCGAATGCAGTAGTTTGTTCACATCTAATTCTAACGTATAGTGTTCGACTCGCTATAATGAATGCGATAGAACTGGAACGAAATGGCTGTTGTTGTTGTTGTTTTTTTTTGTTACCTTTATTAAGGAAATGTTGTGTTGTGATTGAAAAGAACATCGACAAAAAAGCTTGCAAATAGAATTATTTACCAAATATGATACAAAGGATGCTTAAAAGGAAAGTTTGGTAAGGGGGTCCAAATCTGCGAAGGGGGGTCCATATCCGCGAGCGGATTTGGACCGGGGGGTTCAAATCCGCGGGGGGTCCAAATCCGCTGTGACACCGGACTTCGAACATTTGCTCTTGATCTTATCATAGGCGGATTTTTTTATCAGCTTCACTCCTGTGTTTGTCTTTGTCAGGGTGCTTTTGGATGGCAGCCAATGACTGAAATGTCTCGATATATCCTTCCTTTTAGCAAAAATATCTCGCTTTCTTGTTCTGTCTGTGAAGGAGTGGGTATAGTTCTCGCGATGACCCGCGTACAGAAATCTGGGCACGTTTCTGATAAACACCCGCTTTTACGATTAGTTTGCTGAAGGTTTCTAATGTGATGAGCCCAGTAAGACCCTGAGGTGCTCCAAACTGTGCCAGTTGGTCTGCGCTATAAACTTGTCGCAGTTCTTAAGTCAGAGGGAGGATCGCCCACCTCTATTTATGTGAGCGCCTCTACAGTACCTGCGTATCTCTGGCAATCACTTGATATAAAGTTCATCTCAGTCACAAGTCACCAGTTAGGAAAACTGATGTTCAGATAAGCGCTCTTGTTCCTTATTCATTGCCGACTCTAAGATAGCAGTTACAGTACGCGTTCTATTAGGTTTACAGTCACCTTGACACCAGGAAGACTCTCCACTAGCTTTGATTTCTTCTGCCATCGTAAATAAGTTGTCTCTTTACTATTGAAGCCAGTGGATAGAATTCACCAGGTGCGCTTACGGTGTTATACATGCGTGACATTTTCCGGACGTTACATGTACGAGTACGTGATCCGTTTGAGGGTCACAGATTTAGTGTAAATATTTGACCCCTTAACATCACGCAATGTTTCTAGTTTACAGAGGTCTTCGAACGTTATGGATTTGCCTTCTTCGGGTAGAAGGCTACAAGCGAATTTCTCGGGCGTAATTACCTTTGATTTCTCAATTGATGTTGTCGCAAACACGATTTTGGGAGTCACGAAACAAAAGGACCTATTTTCATGTTCTATTGGAAATAAATAGCAAATAAAAACACGTTCTCTTGAGAAATAAAGTTATAAATAACGGGGGTTCTCTGAAACAAATAGTGATAGAAAAGGATTTCAGTTCTGGTCAATATTATACTTTTCATAGCCTACTACCAAATCTGAGGGAACGCGCTGAGGGAATAAAAAAACATAAATGTGTGATAATGCAAGGAAGAGAATGAAAATATAAATAAAGAAAAAGGGGAAAACATAGGAACCCGTGTTGCAGCGTGCAGATATCTTTTGAGCCAGACCTACACACTTAGCCCGACACCACACAGAGAAACTCGAAAGAGTGCTGTATATGATCTGGCTCGCACGTGCACGCAGGAAAGGCCATGACAATCAGCGAAAATAATAGCAAATACAGATGATATTTGCAGTCAAAAAACAGGAAAATAAGATAACAGAAGAATTAAGAACTTTCTAGAAGTGTCTTCTTTAAATATAAAAGATAAACAGTTTTTACCTCTCATGAAAGGTCACGCAGACACGCTACAAATACTATTTCTCTACGTGGAATTTCTTGATGGTGGAAAGTGGAAAAAACATTTTCTAGTCTTATTTTCTGGAAACATGGCGCACTTGATGAATTTATGGGGCTATTGATATTTCCTATTTCCCCCAAAATAAGGGGGGCAGAGTTTCCCGTCATCCGGTGGGAACAGCGGTGGGGAAAAGCCCAAGTTGTTACACTCGGGAACTTGTACGTCAACAAGCACGCGGACTCTAAAATATCCTCTCCTGTTACAGTTTCCTTATTGTAAACTATGCGATAATGATAATAGACGATCAAATTATAGACTAATGAATATTTTGTTCTGTACAAGAGCCCCATTTCCTGATTTTAACAAATCTTCACAGTAATAAACGATTGAAGAGAGAGAAACGCTACGATTTTCCCATTGATTTTCGCCTACATGCATCTCTCTAAACTTGAAATTTTCCATTCCTACAAAAGTCTCGAAAGTTTTTTAAATTTTTAATCTTTCTTGATCAATCATCTTGTATGAAGAGCAAAAAATATAGGTTTATTTTGTCAAGTGACCGCCTAGAGCAAGAATTGCGTGACAGGTTTAGTAGTAATAGTAATAATAGTAATAGTAGTGATAGTTAAGAGAAACTTATCGCAGTCGCAGATTTTAAAAGGCATCCACGACAAAAAGTACCTTGGTGCCTAAAGATTTTTTTTGATGATTTTCAGAGATGAAATAGTGGGTTATAAAGGGTAATTATGATTAGTGTTGTAGCTTTCTGGCAACGGGAGATATTTGACTTCAAAGTTGTCAAATATTTGGATGAATCGAAAAGTCTAAAAACACAGTTGTATATTTGCCTCTGTTGATTGACCAGCCGTCAATCAAATTGACTGATACTTGTAGCGGACATTAACTAAGGATGTAACAATATGTGTACAAACCCTCAGAGTAATTGGTGAAATATCATCGCAGTGAGAGCTTCATACATTTTACCTATTTTGAAGCGATTTCAGTGATGGTGAAAACCAAGAAAAACCGGAAAAAACCAAAACAGAAACCAGTTTGTCTTTTTGAGTTTTGGGGTAGACCCTTTAAACTGGCAAAGTTTCATTGAAATCGGCGAGATGGCATGTAGCAGGACTGCCCGGTGCTTTCGTGGACACGCTCTAAATAAATTCTACGAGGTCAGTTTAACAGCTTATGGTGATAGGTACGTATCAAACTGTCGTGTATAAATAATAACATTGCACTAGTTTGGCAACACGCTGAAAGGCTCTTATTTTACGCAAATTACTGTGCGTTTAATTAATGTTCTTAAAGCAATGGGAAGAAATAACCCTAAGTACCGGACATAAAATAATCTTTGAAATATATGTTTTCTTAAACTATAGTTATCTTGGGAAAAATATCGCCGGATCAAAATAAAGCCCCTATTTAAATTTTTCGTCCTGTTCATAAAATCACTTAGAAGAAGTCATAGGCATGGTTCAAAATATTTTGTTCTTTAGCAAGACAAATAACGAATCCGTTATAAAATCAACCTATCGCAGCTAACAAAACAGCGAACAAAAAGAAAATTGGAGTGATCAAAAACAAATATGTTTAATAACCTAAAGAGGGTACGTTACGGTATATTGAAGGACTTAGCTGAGACATTTTCGTTAACGAGAATAATTTTTCGTAACTTCAGCTTAAAATTATGCAAAAACTATTATAGCTTCATTGGAACAAAGTAAAACGGTAAATTTTTTGTTTAATGTTTCTTAGGTTTACCAGAATAAAACTGCGTCTGTCAATCGCCTACAGTTTTCCTTGTCTTAAGCTGTTTTTGCGGTAGTTAGTCCCAGCTATATATTGCGTAACGAAACTAGTTTAATTAATCAATCCGTTCAAGGAAATCAGTTAAGTTTGTCTTTTCACTCAACCATATCTGCACGATTGTTTGGTATTTGGCGTCTGGAAAAGATCAGGTAACGACGAAAATCAAATTAGAACAACAGCAGCAAAGACAACATAATGGTAGCGATTCCAGTCCTATGATTCCAAACCGAGCTAAAATTAATTTATTGCGAACATCATCTCCTGACTTCCTCATTAATTTCCTCAAAAGGACACCAAGCACTTAGAAGTTCAAACAATCCGCGGCATATTTGAATAATCAAACATATAGCCATGGAAATAAATGTATGAGCTTAAGGATTGTTTTTAATAAGCAAGGGAACAAGATTTCTTTTGCCAGAAAAGCCTTTCTCTGAAAGTGGGGATGGAATGGTGTCAATCATATTCAAACGTCTTGCATTTTTGATGGGGCAGTACTCATGCATTCCGGAACGCAGCTTGCAAGAAGTGGCTCCATCCGGGCACTGGTGTTTTAAACAGGACAAACAAGGCCACTTAAGGTGCTGATCTCAGGACGTTTCTTCAACATTGTTTTAACCTGTTGAAAAGGTTTACCGTTACCCATCACGACCCTGGATCCATTACCAGCCTTACCATCACGTCCACTCTTACCAGTACTATAAACCAGTTGAGTGGCCTTCAATTGAGTGGCGCAATTCATATCTAGGTACTATTCCTGGTCGAACGCATTCACCTCGATCACATGTCTAGCCCCTACGACAACAGGTCCGTTTATCAGTGCAACATACAGCGTGAGGTTCTAGACAACAAGTATAACCACCTTGGCTTCCCCATCTTTGCAACAGGTTTGCTTATCTTCGCAGTTACCACTGACGGGACATAAGATCTACAACATACATTTAAAAATAATTTCGCCTGAAACGAATCCTGACTACGTCTTACCTATGAATAATCAATATGACATTTGATAAATTCCAGGATTTTGAAATATGATGCCTGTCAACAATTCATTACTACACAGGGTACATCTTCCATGATATCTCTTCAAAGCCATTTTGATCTCATTTTAAATGTAAAGGAAAAGTTTTATCGTCTTCTACTGTTAAGCTTACATCCACTTGAATGCATCAGAAACGGGAGCTGAAAGTTTTCAAATTTTCACTCTGATTTTAAACCAATCGACAAATTTCAATAGCAGCTGTCATTTTCCCACCCATGAATTTAGTGTTTCTTTACCTGATTGAAATAATTCACCAACCCTTTTAAAAGTAAAAAGTATTACTTCACATCTATATGAGTTTGTTACCCTTTCAAACCACCTTCAAAACTCTTATGCACTTCAGACTTGCTTTTAAGAAATATCTCATGTTGCTCACTCGCAAACCAACCAAGTGAAATAAATGTAATAAAAAAAGTTTCTTTTTTAAGTGACTAAGCGTCTGTTCTATGTTTTTAACAGAGAGGATACATGTCATCTCTATGTTATGCATTCATGTTAAATGTGTAATTTAGCGGACAAAATCAGTGTATTCGAAGAATATTATTTGATAATTCAAATAAGTAAATACGTGGTTACGCTGTGTCTCTGGATTCCTCTTCAAGAATTTGACCAATGGGTGTCTGCAACTTTATTGAAACAAATAGGTGGCTTTGAATGGTTATAAAAAGATTTCGCACGGAATTATGCCTTGTAGTTATTGGCTCCCGATGCAGAACGTGGAAAGTCTTTGAAAAAGGCTTGTCATCACATACAGTCAGTTTCTGAAGGGTTAAATTGAGTGTTTCCTATAACAAACATGTTAACAAGGGTATTCCTAGAAAGATAAATATATCTTGCAGCAGATGGCAATGAATTGTTAATCGCATTTAATAAGAAAAAGGATTACTTTATTCACAATTCAAGATTATTTACAAAATACAATTGATAAAATTAATATACGAAATTTCATAAAAATTCAAAATCATGTATAATACAAAAGCATTTAGCTTGAAAATTTCCCTAAAAAAAAAAAAAAAAAAAACTTAAGATGCCCGCAGTGGCGACTTTTATTTTGCAGTCTAAGGAGTGTTGTATCTCGCTCTGAAACCTCTAACGTACTACGTACGTAAAGTACTTTGAGGCAGCAAACTCTCAGCTCTCAAATCTGGCATGCCCAGACCCCCTTGAGCCGTTGTTAAGGTGACAAGTAGACGCACCTGTTAGGGAGAGGTTCTGATTGACCGAACAAAGTTGGAAGAAGTAGGTCGTCAATCGCCTCCTGGATTGGATCGACATGACTTCATTTAATTGGTTGAAAGAGTGTGTTCAATCAGAGTACAAAACACGGAGCTTAGAGAGAACAATTTAGTGCCGACATTAGATCAGATAATTTTATATTTATCTTTCATTCAAAAGGCTAGGCGGGCTGAGAGATCTCTGAACGTTATTGACCAAGACAAAGTGTAATTCGGCCAACTTTGAATTGTGAACAAAATTTTCAGTCTCCGCTGCGACTGAACATTAGAGCCTCGGATGGACAGGTAGATGGAACAGAGTAATTTCACATAGAATATCGGCATTTCGTTGCCAAGCAGAAGGGTAATGAAAATATCGTAAAATAATTAATCAGGGGATTTTGTTCAATGTAAGACTTAATTCTCCGAGGTGTAATTATGAGAAAAGAATGAAAAACTGTAAAAAAAATTGGTATTGCGATTGAGAACGGAAGGTTTGACGCCCAAGCATCGCACAAGGTTATGTTGCTTCGAGTCTCAGTCAAAATGACTACATTTAACAAGGCCATAAAAGTAGTCAAAGACTTCGAAAGAATCTTACCCACCTCTTGACTCGTTAGCTCACCAGGTCTTGGCGGGATCTGTGGTACGGGCCGATAGCTCTCGAAAAGCATTTTTCTATTAGATATATAATGATGGGGTTGCATAAAGGTTCCTTTAATTTATTCATTATTCGTCACTTTATAAGATGATTTCTGCGGAATTGTCATTTCTCTTCACAGGCACTTACGCTGGGTCGGATTCGGCCGAGAGAAACATGGAGCTTGGTTAGTTTTTGCGGCGAAGAATTTGCCAACATCAAGTGGAGTCGGTAGCTATATATTAAGCTCTCAGTCATTCGTTTACTCGGTTGCATGTAGCGCTGTATTTTAATAATGTGCCTGTGCTGTTCAATTGAAGAAAGAACCACTTTTTTCCCATCACCAACTTTATTTCTCAGTCTTACAACTCTTTGTGTTTTTCTGATCTATTAACGCCTCTGAAGAGTGAAAACTTTGTCGTATTAAGAGCGCCCCGCTTAACATGCTTTTATTCCAAAGTGTACGTTTTACAGCCTATGAAAGACAAGCACACCTGCTTATGTAGAATTAAGCTAATTACATTTTGCTATGCGACTTCCCCTTAAGAAGCAGGTTAAGGATGAAGATTTTCTAAAATGTCACTGAACGAAAATGTATCCCATGGCCTTTATTTGCTTATCTCCATTATCCCCTCTCCATGCGGCCACATTACCACAAACGTTAGAGGAATCAGCAGAACCAAAACCGATTCTAGAATCACAAGAGTTGCAATGGTTTTCGTTATTTCCAAGGATACCAATTCTGACCCTGCGGTGATTTGGGCGTGGATGTACATTAAACCCTTCCAGGTTACAATGCTCCTGCAGCGAGGACTGGGATCCCAAGAGAGTCTTCCATTGGTGACGACCCAATGTGGTGGCACGATATTTTCCATCGGCGATCAGTGAGTACAGGGAGTTGGCATGCTTGTTGATCATAATGAAGCGCACCTGCTGGCCGAGCCTCATACCGAGACAGATCTTGGAGAAGTGTGTACTCCAGTAGGTTGGCAGTTTAGTCTCCTGCATGTCCAGTCCAGTCTTCCCACCAGCAAGGTTAAAGTCGACTTTATTGTTCCACAATTGGGAATTGTAACGAAATGTAAGCTGATAAATAGAAAGAAAAATATCAAATTTCCTGGCGCATAACATTGGCTCATTCTTCTCTATTTTGGCGATGATATTTTGTGATGTTGTCGCATTCTACCCAGGGAAATCCGAAATAAATATCTTCAGAAGCGCTTCTTTTTTTTCGGGGCTGTACATGTTCACTGAGAGCTAGGGCGCGAAAAAGTGACGGTCGTTAATAGAACGTAGCAGAGCGAGATATTTAGACCAGCATGCACGAGTGATACATCGTGGGTGCTTAACGTGTCTGACATCTCTCACCTCGATTATATTTTTTACATTCTTGCTGAACAGCTACCACGTAGGCAAGATATTTTAGTTTACACGTCGACGTCACTCTAACGCAAGAATGATTGTTGTGCATCTTGGAGTCCAGTCTTACGCAAATTGTCTCGAGACCTACTGAATTATAGACGGCTTCTTTATTTTGAAATAACCCTTTCTTAAAACGCTAACTTGAGAAATTTTGTGAACGAATTGCCCAGGTACGCTTCCGAACTCTTCACACCTTAGCGCCGTCTATTTTCATGACCAGCGTCCAACCACCACCTCCACATGTACCCAGGCTTGCCATGTGACAGTACACGGGCACCTTTTTCTGGGGGCTTACCAGTAAGAGGTAAGGTTTGTTTCCTTCGGACCTTACGAAGAGGAACACCATATGTATTCAGTTAGTAGTTACTTGGACTACCTGTGTTAAAGCCCAAGTTTTAAATTCGGTCACAGTCTACTTCTAATTCCTTAACTCGAGCACTTCCGGTTCCGACAATCTAATTTTTTTTTCCCGTCAAAACTTGCTTCTCATAGTCGTAGTGGCTTAATACATATAATATTTACGCTGTAACGCGAAGATCTTTGTCTAAAAAGTTTCCTCCTACTTCAAATAAAAACGAACCTCTTAATCTCCTTCCTCGAAACGGGATGTCTTGTTTGTGACTGCTGGTTTACATTTTTTTTAATTGAGTACAATGTAAGTTGCGTGGCAGTCAAGTCCACGAATTTTGAAACGCACGCGATTATTTTCGTCCACTAAAGTGTTTCAGTTTATTCTGATGGATCCAGCCGCAAATTAATCAGCCAGTAATCTTATTTTAAAAACTGTATATTCTCTTGACTGCTTCTTTTTCACATCAGATCGTAAAACAAACAAAACGATTTACATTCAGTGTTGGGTTTGCGTCAAAACCCTAATTGGTTCCAGTTCAGGGATGCTTCATAAACACTAAGAAGAAATTTTAAGATGAAAATTCGCGTGTTAAAGGTGCGTGATTGAAAGAACAAAGGTAAATCCCGGGGTGTTTTGCTCTCACTTCGCGAGGTTGTTCTGAAAGATTACACAAAGTTACGGAATCATCGCAAGAGCATTGTTCAAGTTTTGGTCGTCTTTCTTGATAGCCTGTTCTCCACCAATATGGTAAAGACAGTAAAGCCTTGAAAATACTGTCGATGCCAGTGTTACACAGGTTTCAGCTTTTTTAAAGTGTCTTTGTAAGGTCACTAAATTATTTTCGGGGACGAACTTAAAGGTGAAAATAAAAGAAATTCATAGAACTCACTTGTGGTTGTCATAGATGTCTTTACATGAAGCTAGAGGAAGAAAACAGAAGAGATAAAGAAACAATTCAGTTCAAGTGGAATAATTGGTGACAAGGAATTAATCGGATAGATTACCTTCAGCTGTTTTGTTAACTGCACTTTTAGCTGTTTTGTTAACTGCGGCTATAAGCTGTTCGAATTTTTGCTCCAACGTTTCCACTAGAGTCCTTTCAAGTGATTTGATGGCTTCGTCAGGGGGCGAGTTTACCACATTGCAGACTATTGCCTTGTCGTTTAATTTGAATGGAGTCGGCTCTGATATGGTTGAAGCGTTGTCAGCACGGACAGTTATGGTGAAAATCGAGAGAATGAAAGACAGAAGGAAGGAACAAGCAACAGGGGCGTGCATTTTCACTGCGTTTGCCCTTCGCAATCCTCAGAGTATCTTTTGCTAAGCGCTCCGGAGATTAATTGCTGTTATTACCAACTGACGTGGCCAGGAGTCGAGCAACACGAATTTTCGTCCTGACTGCTAATATCTATAAATAATCAAATTCGGCCACGTTTTTTATTTGACCCTTTTTGTTTCATTCACACTTGATTGATACGATCAATATGCAAAACTAGCCAACTGTTGATTTGAAATGAAAAAAATGAAAACAGCTCTGTTTGTATACTGGTCTATACTCAATTTCAGCCTTCGGCCAAAACGTTTCGAACATAAACAAAGGCTGTTTGTTTCTTTGGAACGACTTAAGTAAACTTTGTAACACTTTCTGTAGACATCGCCGTGTGAAAGGACGAAGTAATTGATGCGTCTCCAAGACTATTTTTTGAACACTGATATGATGAGAAATGGAATAAAAACGGCTCTGTTTGCATACTCAATTTCAGCCTTCAGCCAAAACGAATCTAGCTTAGAAAAAGACTGTCTGCTTCTTGGAACGACCTTGGAAAGTTTTTGTTAGAATTACCACAAAATGTTATAAAATTTACCGATAAACTTCTCTCCTTTGCGTTAAGTCTATTGTGAAATGGACTCGACATAATTAGCCATAAATCACCGGGAGATAACTAATTCCAGTCTTTTCATTTGTATTTTTGTGTATACAGCCTGTTTTCGTACATGTTAAGATATTAAATTAAAAAAAAAAAAATTGCGAAGTCTGAAAATTTACCTTTTATGGAAATTGCTTTTACCTAGCTGTCGCTCCTTGGAAGGATGAAATAAGCGATGAAGAACATGACGAAATCTCTTGGTCAGGCGATAGTTTTTTTAAGAAAAATCGAAAGGTTTTTGAGGTGCCACTTTTCTCCTCGAACTCCTTGGCGGATCTTGTGAGGAAAAGGCATATATCTGGAACTCTGGCAGAAACTGTGGACATGTATGCAGTTGTGCTTCGCTCCTTAAGCCACCCATTTTTACCTACTTATCGTCGCAGAAGAAAGGGTTCTGTTGTGAGCTGATTAACAACTCCGGTTCGTTCTTATTGATCACAACAAAGAAGCAAGTTCAAGCTACGTAACTGTCAATGAAATCACTTTCATGATAATATTTAATGCTCAATTACACTATTTCGATCCTCTGCTGCCTCGAGGTGGCTGTTGTAGCACTCTTTTTATATAACCTAGCCAAGAAGAAAGCTCTAAGAAGACTTAGGCACGTTAAATAAACTTAAATGGCTTTATTGAGTTATTTGTTGGAAATTTATGGCTCATATTTCTAAATTTGGAGACCAAACGATGTCAATTTCATAATAAACCTTACGTATGGAGAAAATGTAATCGTTGATTTTACTACTTATCTCATAGTTGTTCAAAAAAACACTTACACTGGCTTTCTATCAACAATATCCAAATCCATCTCTGACTTAAAAAAAAGGCGGCGAAAAAGCGATAATCTCTCTCCAAATTTATTATTTTTTTGATATATAGTTATTTTCAAGATGTTTATCGCTTCTACGGCAGTAGATAAATGCAAAGTGAATTCGGAAGCAAGGAAAGACAGCAGGTTAAAACGGCATAGGGTAAAATATAGACTGGACTATTTTTTGGACCATTTTAAAAGGGGGGGGAAAGCGCATCATTAGTACGGGATGTAGTCTTTCAGTATTGAGGGAGGGGTGGGAGGCAGAGTGTTATTACTCAGGGAGGGGTGAGAGACGGAATATTACAACGCAGGGAGGGGTGGGAGGTGGTTGTAATAATAAACACTGCCGAAAGCGAAAGCGAAACTGCCACGTAAACACTGGACTTCTACGTTTTGCCGACGAAAAATATCGGCAGGCAACAGTAGCCACCATAGTTCCACCTCGCAGGTTTCGTAGGATTTTACGAAGGAAGTGATCGGCAGCGGCCCGAGCAAATTGGAAAATAAACCTACTTGGTCGCGATTTCCGGTGTCGGTGATTAACTCCTTTGTTTGCGAAACAAATGAAATCGATATTTGCGCTTTCCCATTTTGCAAGTACAGCAGTGTTTTGGTAGATTCGAGAACATGAATTCCTCTTCGAAATCTTCCGCTGCCGATTTTATATAGTCAAGGTGTAAACTTTAAAATTGCGAAAGCGCTTATGAATTCTATAAGCAGCTAAGTTAAGGGCTAAGGACCAGATATTCCGTGATCTCATCTGATAAGATCAATGACAAAAGGAAGATAGATAAATTTAGTACTTACATACTGTATACACAAAGGGAAACGTGAAGCAACTGGTGGTGCACAAGTTGACTTAAAATGCGCACGCATAACTCAACAGTGGAGGGTCGTAAACGCGAAATTTTCAATAAAAATTAAAGTCCATTGTTTACATGGCAGTTTCGCTTTCGCATGACAAAAAAATGAAGAAACGCCACGGCCCAGCGCTTCAATTTTGACATACAAAAAGTCAGTCGAAAAACCGATTAAAATAATTTTGTATGATCGAGTAAAAGCTCCATTAACCAGCAGTGTTTACTATTACAACCATCTCCTACCCCTCCCTGCGTAGTAATAGTCCGTCTCTCACCCCTCCCTGAGTAATAACACTCTGCCTCCCACTCCTCCCTTAGTACAGATAGACTGCATCTCACCCCTCCCTGAGAACTAATGGCGTGTTTCCCCCTTATAAAATGGTCCAAAAAAAATGAACCAAAAAACAGTCCAGTCCATATTTTATCCTATGCCATCTGTTAACCAGAGTAGCATCAAATCAAGTGAACGTTAAGAGATAACATCACTAATTAGAATAAGATCTACAGAAAACTTTCCACCCACTCTCCCCCGCAATACAAATTTTTTATCATAATATGAACCTTTCTAACCACCCCCAAGTAATATGTTATAATAAGTAATAATAAATAATAATTATCAAATTATTATTAAATTATCAAATTTAGGTCTCAACTAAACAGTACATTAAAATAATGATAATCAGAAAAAAAAAAAAAAAAGTAAAAACTAAAGAGCTAGGCTTATTTGCCCGGATTATTTGCGATCAGTTTCTTTTTCAAGAGGAACAATTTAAAAGGCATGCAAACACTCAACTTATCACTAGTTTACACAAAAAGAAACAAAAGTGATTGAACACCAAGATATGGGTCTGTCAACGAAGATTCGTGTTTGTAATCTTTTATCTTTCCCATAAGTTTAATATACATCAAACATCAAGATCGAAAACATAAATAGAAAAATATGAGCGGAACTTGTATTACACGGCACCGTATTAAGCAGTCACCCCGTATTAAGCGGTCAATTTTCAATGTCCCGAGATTTTTCTCCTTCATTTCTTTAATTTTCATTTCTATTACGCGGTCATGGACTCGTGGTCACCCTTTACTGAATCCCGACGGCCTGTCTGTATCGAATTTATCCTTAGGCGCAACTAGTCACAAATTGAAATACTAAAAATAATCTTTCAAGTAAAAATTTAGTCCAAGTTTACCTCCCAGAATCAGGATTTTTGTTTGCTAAGTTGCCAGTTGTGGCCATTCACCGTTTTTCTTTTGTAATAACTCTTTTTTTGTGGAATCTATATTAGGCGCCAATCTTTATAAGTCGTCACTCCGCCATTTTCCGTGGGTGACCACGGAATACAGGTTCGACTGTATCAGTGGAGACTCTGGCAACTCCACGTGGCTTTTCCACATCACAACCATTGACGTCAATAGCCTACAGGCTGAAACACATAACAGACTCCGTGCATAATCAACAGTTTTGAACGCCACTGGTCCAATTTCCGTTGCGATAATTATAATGGCATGGACTATTTTCAAATTATGACAGATACACTGACGGCTTTACTTTTGTTTACTGTCAAGTCAAGATGGTCATTTGACAAATTCACTACGTTTTAAAAAGCTGTGATGCAGCAACAGAGCTGCGATATCATGGATGCAATGAGATTTTTTTTTCATCATTATTAGGATTATTGCTATTCTTTCTCGTGGTATTCCAATATGGTCCAATATACAGCATAAATATATCATCTATCAGGAAAATGTTAATTATTATGAATGACGCTAGCTATTAACGTTCACTTTCTATATGCTATTAGCATAAAATTATGACGAGTATTAATATTTCAAGACGGTATGAAATATCTCCCGTCCATTAGTAAAACATTAACAAGACAACCACGTATAATATTTCAGCAAAGAAGAGCAAGGTAAGGTATTCCTTGGGAGTAATTTGAAGCAAAAGGAATGTTCTTTTTCCGATGTCTTTCAAGAATTGGCACCGGTGTAAAAAGCGAGGTTATATCGGAAATCTTTATCGACGAGCTTGAAGGAGCTGTTTAGTCTTCATCGCATTATTTCATGAAAAAAAATTTTCTGTGTAATTTTGGAGTGAGGCCCTGCAGTATTTGTTTTGTTCCTTCGAGACCTATTGAATGATAAACTTTTTCTAAGATTATCTGCTCCTTGGAAACTCAGACTATGTTTTAATATTTATTATAATTTATAACAGTTCAATTGTCAAAGCAAGATGTTTTTCGTCTTGTCACGAGCGTGGGACAAATAAAAATTCTGAGTTCCAACGAGGAATCGAACCTCAGACTTTTGGATTCCGCGCTCCGATGCTCTACCACTAAGCCACAGAGACTTCACGGTAAGCGAGGTCTATGACGAAGTTCATATGACACGCGTCTTGGATACTGCTAGGATCAGCTATGTCGGTAGCGTAATTTTTGTAAATAGAAGAGAAAGATGGTAAGTTTTGAGCTCGGTAAAGAATCAAAGAAAGATGTTTTTCCGTCTGGTCACGAGCGTGGGACAAAGAAAAAATTCCTCCCCTGATGTTTATGAAAACTTCTTGGAATCACGCTTCTACGATGCTTTCATAATTTTTGTATTTTTGTAATACCCAGAGGAGCTCCGGCGAAAAAGAAAAACCGCCATAAAATTATGCAAAGTCAAAAGGCTAAATGCAAATCTTAATCATCTTTAAAATGAAACATATGGTAACCATTATAGAATGACGCACGAGGTGTCAGCTGGCAGAGTAACTTACGCACGTTTCTGATGAATTATTCCCGCAAGATTCAACGAGTACAATAGGAAAGTAACCTGTGAACCAGACACAACTTATTATGGGGGAGGAAGGTGTAAGAATTTGTTGGGTGGATCACATGGTTTTTAAGGAGGGAACGAAAAGGGAATCAGTTGAAAAGAAATATATACATATATATATATATATATATATATCAAAATGACTGCAAATTGACTGCAACAGAGGGGGAATATTTTTAAGCCCGATAGAGGAAGATCAGGTAATTTTTAAAATCCTCCAAGATCCCCCCTAGCCCCCTCTCTTACGCCCTCCCACCCCAGGGAGATGAATAATGATGACCGATACCTTATCACTAGCGTCAGCGCATTCTGTGTCTTTACTCTAATCATATTTAAACCTGCAACATTATGTTTGAATCGTCGTTCTTGCACCCGGAAAGATCTGTACAAGACCAAATCTTCTCACTAGAATGTTCTCAGATCAATAAGATCCAGTATTGTATTTGAGAAATGGGAGAAAAATTCCATAAAAGAGAGATTAAAGTGAGTCATTCTATGTTTTATGGTGACAGGCAGTTCCTCAAATTCAAGAATTTATCGTAAAAGGATCAAACAGAGGGCAAAACATGGAAGGAGCGTGTAAGTTTTAATACAGTGAGTTTTTAATACAAGCAAGGATTCTCTGAACATAGAGTTATTTTCTTTCCGGCAGACGAAAAAAAAAAAAAGAAAAAAAAAAAGACTCGTAAAACAACAAAAACAGAAGACAAGATCAAATATCAAAACAGAAACAACACGAAAAGAAAGCAAACAAAAAAAAATCAAAACAATACAAGCGAACAAAGGAACAAAGCAAAACAAAACAAAAACCCAAACAAAAACAGCCAAAAAAAAAACAAACAAACAAACAAACAAACCAAACCACCTAATCTTGATTGTAGTTAAATAAGACACATTTCCCTCCTTGATGATTTTTCAGTTCAGACCTTCCTCGTAGATATAAAAAGTAATACTTTTGTCCGTCAGGACATTCCGATCGTAAACATGCCTTATGGATCTACTTTATTAGCTTTAGTAAACGATTGAAACAAAAGTTTTAAACATTTCTTGATCTCAATGCTATGTTTGATCTTGATGCAGCGGCACATGATTAATCAGTTGGACACAGAAATACCATCTTTTTGTCTCACTTCATACGTCTCGTTACTTGTTTTTTGAACATATAGTTGTATCTTGCACGATGATTGTGGGTTTTGCGACATTACCTCTTCACATAGGAATGATCATTATTGGTAAGTTTGCCTGACGTAACAAGTTGCACTCCCCTTCTCCAGCTTATCTGTCAATAAGTATTAGACCTGTCGCTCTGTCATTTGGGTCTTTAAAAGGGCCTTCGCACTTATTAATCTTATCACTTAGATTAGCACCGGAGAAGTGTATCAAGTTTTTGATCGACGGTACACCAAAGTTTTACCTTTTCTCTCAAACATGATTTATGAAAAGGAAAGGGGCTGGAACGCTATACCCCACCTACTGTTCCTACATTCCAGCCCGCCTCAGCCGCGAGGGCATATAAAATGATATGGCTGACAGGATTCTTCCTATTCATCCAAATCATTTTATGTTTGCAGGTGCTAAATACAAAGACCAGTGCCCCGTTGAAATAATGATCCCGATCTATCTGATCGCGGCTGGAGCTGCTGGTATTTTGGGCAGCTTGTATTCCTTTGGAATGTCGTTCCGAAAACAACGTGATGAAGAAAGTGAAGAAGTAGGCCCATTGTGTTCTCTGAAACGGTTACATACCGTTATACAATTACTTCTCCTTGCCTGGTTCGCCTGTGGAAGCTTCTGGATTTATAAGAATTATCAGCCGAATTATACTGACCCTAATAGTCCCAAGTATTGTCATAAGACACTTTACCTGTTTGCATTTTGGTCCACTTTTTCCCATTATTTCATTTCTTTTATCGTCATGATCTGTGGTTGTTGCATGCTTTGTGTTTTTTTCATATGCTATATTTACAAATATTCTCGAAAAGACTATGATATGCCTCGAATATTTTTGCCAAAGAGCTAATTCATGAGCGCTTAAGGCCAACCGCAAATGGGGATCTGAATGGAATCATTCTTGACCTATGTATTTGCAGTACGTTTAGGATAAAATATGACGTGATTTAACGCTAGTTGTGATTTCTGGTTGAAAGCTAACTTGAATGAGGCTGAAGGAGTTATCACCAGTAGTGCATGGATTTGCACCAGGGTAATCCCAAAAGAGAAGCCATAGGCTATTTTGAGTTGGTCAGTGGAGACCAGTAGAGGAAACTCACCAAATTTCAGTTCAGTTTCTTTCGTGTGCGCCCGCCCTGTGTGACAGATTTGATTCTCAAGTAATGAAAGCTTTAATTAAATAGTTACTTTACTAAAAAATACATATCCATAATCCGCACAAAATTGAATGATTTTCGAGAATTTCTATCATGTGGAAAGAAAAAAAAGGAATAAAACACTCTAATTACATAAATCTTTAGTTCTTTTGATACAATGTATTAACTTGAATCATGACTCTGGCAGCAGAATTCAAACTCAGAAGCCTCCGGAATTTTTCCTGCCTTCTGTCGTTTCCATCCTTTTCCTGAAAATATTTCTCATCAAAATATTTTATCCAGTTCCCATCGGAAGTTGTTCAATTCTTGAACGCCGGTTTAACCTATCGGTATATGGGAAGCATACCGCAACCTTGACCGTCATTAATTCAAGTCCTTCTTTACTTGTAATTTCGCCATGTTTATGACTTCTTGCAACGTCATCGCTGGAAGTGTGCAGTATGAAACGTATAGTTACCTGCTTTATCTCTTCAGGTTGCAAGAGTTTAGGTAAGAAGAATCATAGGCAGCCCAAGCTCCAGCTGTGAGATGATCATCTCGCACAATAACAATCATGGCGGAATTATTAGAGTTTGTATGAGAATATTTACGACCGCTCTAAGGAATAAAACAATACGTCAAATTAACAAATAGATTCCAAGTTGCCGTGCGTCTGTTCAGTAATAGATCACAGATGACGTCAAAATGTGTTAAGAACAAAAAAGTGGCACACGAGGCGCAGCCGAGTGTGTCACTGATAAGCTGGAGCTTGGGCCGCCTGTGGAAGAATGTAATCTTCTATCACTGGTTGACTACGTGAATGATTATCTTTCAGAGATGTACTCAACTGATTGCGCACAAACGCCAACTGTACATGTAATTAGCCAAATGAAGTCTTAAAATAAATAACTTCAAGATATATTGATGGAAAATAAACTCTTCATAACATAAATGTTTTTGATAAATGTCAATGTTGTACGGACATAGAAATGGCAACACTTGCTCGTGCAATTTGAAGATCAAACGGAGTAAGTACCTAAGGAAACTGTGGTGCTGCGTCGGTGGGAGAATATATCACAATGTAATTTGGTATTATCAGTTGAATTGATGACGTAAACTGGCCGCCGTTAATAGTTTTAGCTGACGTTTCGAGTGTAAGCCCTTCAGCACAGTGTCAAACGAAGGGCTAACGATCGAGACTTCAGCTTTGAAACTGTTTACGGTGACCAATTTACGTCATCAATTCAATTGATACTGGCAAATTGCCTTGTGTTATATTCTCCCACCGACGCAGCACCACAGTTATTTTAGAAACATACCCCCATTAACCTTGTAATTACATGAGCAAGTGCTGCCATTTCTATGTCCGTGCTTTTTTGAATTTCAAGTTCTATTATCATACTTCCGCTATAAGTGCAAAAAACAATTAAACCGTGTGAGAATGGAATATTTAGATATCGCTTTAAAATGAACTCAGGAAATTACAAGCAAACGACCTGACGTTTAGATGTATTGGACCATCAGTTACAAGAACAAGTGCTGCCATCATGGCAAGCATGTCTGAATTACGATATACGTTTCATTTTATTTTATTTTTTCACTGAGAGACGTATCTTAAGAGTGCACTGTGTAAACGGTACACGAAACAGTTTCAAGATAATAACGCCAGGGTAACGCTAATCTCTCGTAAAATCACTGCTCGTTCCGTTTATGTCATTGATATTGATATTGGACTCGGTCACAGGGACAATTCATTAATCCATCCATGCGTACCTGAAGCACAATTTCCGTATCCTTAATCCGCTTTTAGTGCCACAGCAAGAAGTCTTTAATTTCAAGAAACCTATTAGATTCCTCAACGGGAAAGAAGAGCCCTCTAAAATTTTCTCTAGGAGGCACGGATTCGAATCCTGAATTTTTTCAGGCTACTTTCCTGCAACTGCTAAAATTGCAGTCCACCTGCCAGAATCGTTGCCTTATTTGAGGACTTATTCAAAGCAGGAGCCGTATTAATGGCTCCTATTCAAAGATTTCCTATGATACCTAGAAAAATAGAAATAATATCAAAAATAAATCAATTAATATGCCTTTGTGCATATTTTCAGGCTTGAAAGGGATTCAAAACACTTCCCACAACTGAGCCATCAAATCAATATAATATTAAAAACTTACGTAAACTTCATGCATAGCTTACATTTCTCCTACGTGTGATGAAGTGCAAGCGATTTCGTAGTGATGCATATGAAGTGTCATAACCTACAGCAAACCAGTTTTTCTCTCAATAACGCATTTCTTTTCTTATTTTTTTTTTTTTGGGGGGGGGGGAAGGGGGTTAAAATGACCGATAGAGCTCCGCTGTACTGTTCTCTGTTCTGCGAACGCATACAGTCTGGTTGTAAAGTAGAGGTCGGAGATGAAGAGAACCAACACTGATGAATGACAATTCTCAAATGGCGGAGTATTTCCCACATAAGAGCAATAAACATGTAGAAAATCAAAGTGAAAACTTTTATAAATCACAACACCGGTGGTAAAATTAAGCTAATAAACTGCAACGCTTTCGATGTTAGAAAATTCAACAATTTCTTCTCTTTGCTTCCATCCGTCTTTGAGGTCGCCAAATAACTGATTAATTGAAGTCAGTGCTGTCATGTGGATTAAGGATAAGTTCTTTTCTGAACATGCTGAAATAAATTTGGCATATTTGCTGTGTTTTCATGAGTAGGTAATCAAATATATTATTCAAGTAATCATTTAAGGATTCACGCAGTTTTTGAGTGTTTTCGTAAGAAGTCGGTTCTACTCGCTTTTGTCATTAATTTCCTGCTAAGATGCTAAATCAAATTTCCTCGCTCCAGGCGAGAGCGCACGGAAAGAGAAGGGCCTGGGAGAGGGGAGGGTGGTTCAGTCAAAAAGACCTCACGCAGTCATATCATGACAGCGAAAGAAACTTAAGTTCTATTCTAACAAGGAATTTGCAAGTGACTCGATATCTTATCGCCTCCACTTCAGTAGAACTGTAAAGGCATTTATTGAGTTCCAGGAAGAAACGTATAGAATTTACTAATGGGGTCCAACCTCTCTGACAACACGAAATTTTATTATTTCAAGTTGCTTTCTTGCAGAGGAAAACCGGAAAATGAGCAAAGTTTTAAAACCCACGTACAGAGAAATTTTTCTGCTCATTAGAACTCTTATTTCACCATTTTCTCGTTGCAGTTACCGTCCTGGTTTGATTAGGGACCTTTAGCAAACCCACAACGGTGACAGAAACGAGGAGTGGCAGAACAAAAGATCTAATGAGCAGAACGATAGCTAAGCACGTGCCTTTCAAAACTGTATACATTTCTTTCCCGTTCTCTGCAAAATAACTTAGAGAAATCATCAAAATTTGCGTGGTACAAGAAAGGAAACCACGGCCAACGGCACATCATTTAAGTTTCCATTTGGAACTCGACGCCGCTCTCATACGTTATGCTGAGGACTTGCGACGCCGTAAGAGATGGTACGCACATCCAGTCATTCGCGAAATTCCAACTGAAAATATGTATTCATTTCTAAGTCAACGTCTTCCAGGGCGTCGCCTTCCTAACTGCTAAAGGTCCCTATTATTAAGCTCCCTAACAGGCGAAGGCCGATGACTTTAAGTCTTAAAATTCTTTAAAGTTTTCGACTTTGCATCTCTTGTTAGTATATTTTCAAGAGTCCACAGTTTCATTTCGGTTTTGATTTGTTAATATGTGCGAATTAAAAATATACTTCGAAGGTCGATAGGACTGGATATAGGCTAAGTTTTCTCTTTTCACGATTATATATTTTTTCTCCTTATTTATTCACCCGTTCATATGCTGTTTTCTTGTTCACTAAAATGCGGCCATCTTGAATCAACACACCTTGTCACGAGAGGGTTAATTTTAGTAATACTGCATCTTACCTAAATACAAACCATGGCTAGCAGCGATTTGAACTACGATTAGAAATGAACATCGTCACGTTACAAATTCGTTACAACAATGATTTGCATGTAGACCGGATGTCTTAACATGTCAACAACTATTTATAGGGCGCACTGGAAAACAAAATGTTATAAATTATTTCGTTTTCTATTAAAGAAAAAAGGGTCAGAACACTCTCAATGGACAAAAATTTGTCGTTATGAAGCGGATTGGCCGTGAAAAAAAAAATCAGGAAAGAATACTATCGTCAAAAGTATAATGTTTTATTTCCATCTCTCCTAAAAATAGCCCCGACGAGTAATTTTAAAAATCGCTGAGATTGCCATAATGAATCGAAATAATTTCGGTTTCATTACGTCATTCTTCTGGACAGGATTTATATCTACATAGTACACATCTGAAATGCACGAGTATTGGAACAGTTAAACAATGAAGATGGTCACTTAAATTGTCTACGGTGGTGAAAATATCAAACTTATTTAACAGTCCTGTACAACTTGAACCTTCTTTCTACACAGGACAGAGGATAACCGAATTATTTGTGAAACGAGAAGAAGAGAAGATCACAGCATTTTAAACATGGAGGCTATTATGGCAGGTTTCTGGGTTTTTCTCGTCTCTTGTAAGTTTTACGACTTAACGCCTATTATGACTCTTACTAACTTTTCATATCTTACAGTATTTATTTCGACATCGTTCATTTCACAAGTTTGATCGATCACCATACTATTGATATCAAACTGGGCGAAATTTTATGAAGCCGAGCTGCCATGCAAGCGACTTGAAATATAGCGAAAGTTGGCGATTGTGGCAAGATTTTCGTATAATCCAATACTAAATTGTGGATGCATTTCTTTAAAAAAAATCGCCTAATCCTTTCAAACTGAGGCTTTGTTGGACGCTAGTATTGGGGTTATGTGGAGTCAAGAGTCACCCTGCCTCGACCACTAACTCATTTCGAATAAATCTCTTGAACATCTAACTTTCACGAAGCATGAAAGTCTTTTATGGCCGCCAAAGCTTTCGAGAACCAGTAGTTCGGAGAACCCGTAGGAATAGCTTTACAATAAAGACAGGAACCATAAAAAAATTAAAGCTCGACTGATATTTGAACAAGGCCTACTCTTTACGCGTAAACTATGGGTTGAACTCCTCAAATGATAGTATATTTTGATTCTTCTAGTTGCGACTGCTATAATTTTTGTGTCTTTGGCATCCATACCTCTCCAGATAGCAATGATAGTTATTGGTAAGGTCACAATGATTTTACGATAATTTTGTTTTGTTAAATTTTAGAATAACCGCTCATTAGATTTCCGTAATATCAAACTCCTATGACTCTCTTTACAGGGACTCTCCGTATCCATTTGTTAGCAACGTTTTTAACAAAACCTCAAATACTTCGCAGTGCTTCGTTTAAGGGCAAAGACTCACGTTTTCAAAGAATCTTCGCATGTGTGACAGTTTGACGTGACAGACGGGCATGATAACGATGAGCCAAGAATAGCTTTTGGTTTTGTCTTTGTTTTTCTGATGCGGTTGCTTTTGCATAGTTGAAAACTATTCTAACGAGGTAACAAAGACTAGCTAAATGAAAAGTACAATGTCAGGGTGATACCAAACAACAATTAAAACGTTCTTTGTCTTTTTTGCCTCTCCTAATCGGTTTTTACATTTCATATTTTTAGGAGCAAAATACAAAGACGAGTGCCCAGTGGAAGAAATGATCCCTGTTTACCTCATAGTAGCAGGGGCTGCCGGTTTATTCGCCAATTGTTGTACCGGCGGTGTGAGATACAACCAGCAAGGGGATGATGGAAATACTGTAAATCTGCTGCAGGCTCTTGTGCAATTTGTTCTTTTCGCTTGGTTCATTTGTGGGAATGTATGGATTTACGCGAACTATGAGCCGAATTACACGGACCCTTCGAGTCTGGACTACTGCCATAAGACACTTTATCTATTTGCATTCTGGGTCACGAATTCTGCTTACATTCTTTACGGATTCATATCAGTCTGTCTCTGTTGCTTTGGAACTTGCACCGCCACTGTAGGCATCGGTAAAGCGTGTGTAGTTGTGTAAAAGATCCGAAAGGAGATTATCACATTCATGTCGATGTTAATAATATTAAAAAAAAAAAATAATGAAAATACTCTGTTGTCATTTTTAAAATCAAAGATTGAAAGGCACAAACAATATTGCCCCCTTGCACAGTCGAGTAAGTTGGGTTACTGTGACAGGTAAATAGCACATACTTTATTTATTTCAAGGAGCAATTGTTGCTTGCGTTGAGGGCAATAAACCATTTCCTAACTCACATCAGCAACACATGATTTAGTAGTTAAACCGGGTTTCACTATATGAAATCAGAAATAGAGAACTTAAAAACTAAATTTTCCTTTGGAGTCAATTAAGTAGTCACTAACATGTAATACTATTTTCAATGTGCTTCATCGCAAGTTGAAAAACATCGGTTTAAGCAGCTTTTATGAAGAAAAATAATTTTCAACCGACTTCTAAAAGGAAGCTTTGAAACATGTTCAAGCTTTGCTGTGAGTGGGATATGAGACGATTCGAAACGATTAGCAGTTCATTTCTTTGCTGAAATAGCGGTACATCGAAAAAAAAAAAAAAAGGTTTCGGAAAGCATTTTCGAGTCTCCTCAAAAATCAACACTTTTGGTAGTATTAATTTAAAATTCTTGACAAGTTGGTGTAAACTTCAATGAACCAAAATCATTTCATCTTACATAAAGGAATGGGGGCGTGTTCACCAAAGGGGGGATTCTTGACACTCCAACACTAAAAAAGGAACTGAAAAAGAAAAATGGAAAAAAAGGGGTGAAGGAGATTTAAATTAACAAATATATACCAATAAAATATAATGAATTAATTGTAAAATAAAATCCGATATATTATAATGATATACTACCTTCCCTCGCTACAGCTTGGCCAACTTTGGCGGTCTTTTTTATATTTAGTGAAATTAGTTATCTGTTGCCTTTGAAACTGTTTACAAAATCAGCCTGAAAAGGCGACAGAAAAGAGAGGCAAAGCGTTAACCTGGGAAAAAATGTTTTAAAGCAATGACGACAAATTCTCAAAAATTGAAACGGAATTGGAAAGCAAACATTCATATGCAAGGAAAACAGCGTTATATTTACACGCCAAGTCATACACCGCGTGGGTGGGTTGGAGACCACCACAGTCCACCACGGTGGTTTTACTTCCACAAGATTCTTATCTATGCTTTACAAAACCAAAAGTATTGCGCACTGGTGCCAAACACTCCAAAAGCCTCGTTACATGCAAACTAGCTTAAGTCTTCAAAATGCTTTCTCAACAAAATGAAAACAAATATATGAAAACAGAGAGAAGAAATTTCGCACACGAGCACACCTCACGGTTGCTAATGTTGTAACGGAAACCCACTGTTTCCTGTCGGCACTCAGAGCTGTTTTTTTTTTTTTAATATTGCTTGCTGCCCGTTATAGTTCAAAAGGTATTATAGTTAATGTTTAGAAACTTGATAATGGCAGGTAATAGCGACTTAATTTTGACCTCAGAGAAAAAATGTTAAAAAAAAAGGTTCTTGCTTCCGACCACAAAGGTTCCAATGGCATTCCCTTTTACTATCTGCTAGTCACCCCTGAGACAATGCAAATTTTCTCTCTAATTGAAGGCCTTGAAGAGGCTAACATGCTCGCTTAAGTCTCACACACCATACTCCATCTCATGAACCCAGTTTTGGGATTTACCTCATTAAGACCAAGTATCATTTATTGTCACTATCAGTCAGTGTATATGACAACAAACTGACATAATCACAAACAGGAATAGATCTTGAAACTTCTTCTCGAATGTCCATTAGGAAGACCAATGGGCTTCCAAAGACAATAGGGGTAAATTTGGAAAAAAATACGCACGCTAACGGAAGATTATTGCAATGGTTTCGAAAAGATAGCAGAAGCCTTTAATTCTCAACAATAGAAATGATATTTGGCGCAATGTGCACGACATAGTTTCCGAAATTTAGTTTCTCCATGACGATGGAGAAAAGAGCTTCGAAAAACTGGAATGAGGGAATGTAAGTGGAGAATCTGAAGAGAACGAGGCAGAGCAATAAAAAATGAAAGTGAGAAAAGAGAAGAGCGGGTTGAAAAAGAATGGATATAGGAAAAACTTGTTTTATCACCTTTTCCTATCCTCCTGCCTTCTTCCAAGCATGGTATACAGACCACACCGCGTGATAGAGGTTTTTTTTTACACGTGTCTCGGTAAGAAGGTTACATGAGGCACACACGTGATCACATTTGGATCACGACAATCTTATCACACAAATATATTAATTACTTTACTTATCACGCCATCATAGCTCTCTTAATTGCCTGATCGTTATCCGATTCCGCATTTTTTCCTACGTGTTGAACGAGTCCATTCATATCGACGAGGACATTCCACGACGACAACAAACAGCGATAACAATTATAACTACTGCAACAGTAATTTCGTTACCATCGTCGTCGTCGTCAACATATTGGAAACCAAAATTGTGTGCATAATATTATCTGCTTACATAACAGCATATACATCCTGATTTTCTTAACCCCTTTGAGTTAACATCTGTATCCTCAGTTTGCCCGAGGAAATCAGTTTTGAGCGTGAGTTTCAAGGTACCTCAATGGGTGCGATATCGCTTCTCTTCTATACAAGGGAGAACAACAATACACCGATCAAAGGTACTTTTTAATTCACTGGCACAAAATGCAGCACCCAAAAGGAGTACAAGAACAGCCAAGGTACGAAATGATTAACTTCCGGGGAAATCGATCCACCTCCAAAAATGAAAACAGAACAACTGGACAGGTCAACGAAACGAAACTTAAGTCTCTAAAGCCTGAAGAAGGAGAAACCGAAATTGAGAAAACAAACGAGTTTCCTCATTCAGACCTGAATCGTACTGGGGCAGTCTATAAAGTCATTGCGAATAACGCTGAGGGACCCACGGTTGACATAAAGACAAAGTCCTGCGTGGACCACCGAGATGCAATCTACGACGCACTGAACATCATCGCTGAAACAACAGGACAACAAATGAATTCATGCCGCCGCACGATGTGTTTCACGACTGCACTACTGATGATTATTTTTCTCATAGCTGCAGCTGGCCTGACTTTGACTTTGATGATGCTTATTTCAGGGAACACCTTAAGTTGGAATCAAACGCCTACTTTACCACCAAGTAAGTGCGATCTATGGCCTCTGAACATGGCAAACTGTTCAATGGCATTAATTTTGTTCAGCCATACGAAATTTAGCTTCCATCCATGTGCGTAGGAGTAAAATTGATCGAATTAGAGTTTTCTAGAACAAGACCGAAATATGTAAAAGCTTTCAGCAGTTTGGATCATTGGATTGAAAGGTCAGGTGTACATGTAAGGTATTGCGAAAAAAAATCATCATGCGAGACACGAAGGCATGATTCACTGAATTTCAATCACCAGCTTTGCAGTTTATCATTCGAAGTTGTAGTCGGGCGAATTTCTGTACTCAATGAGCACATTTCTACATTCTTTTCACGCTCTTTCAAATTATGCTTACATAAAAAAAAAACCGGAGGGAGCTAAAAAAAAGGCAGGGAACAGGAAACAGGAAATACTATTTTGTCTACACTCGAAAAAGGATCTTCTTCCAAATTTGCGGGCGACCTCTAACCGTAAGTGTTCTTTCCAGCACCAGGCTATTATGGCACTTTCCACTTTGAATGCTTTGTGCCAGACATTTACGGGCATTGTATATTCGTAGGTTTCCTTTAGAATGACTACGAGACTAGTTCACCGGGATAACCCTGAGTAATCGATTGGTTGAAACTTGATTTACTCATTATCATCATTTGCCACTTCTTCATTTAAATTTTGTCAACACTAAATCCCATTTAAACGTCTCAGAACCACCGTGTTACATTACATAGATGATCAAGAAAAGCCAGTTGCTCCCCAACCGAAAAAGATTATTCCACAAAACGCACAATATCGTTCAGAAAAGAGTCGATGAAATTAGCGGTCTCGTAATTCCCCTAACTGTATTTACAGGCAACCTCGAAAGCGGCGCCCACCCTGTAGGACTAGGACGGAAAAGTTAAAATGTACCCAGCCTCGAATCTTTTCGCAGTTCCCTCCTTCTTTTAACAAGTCAAAGAGGGATTTAATGATCAATTGTCTTTCCATGCTTTTTGCAGCATACATGCATGCTTTTTCCAGCCTTTTAATCCAGCTATTCTTATCGTCTATTCGTCAAATCTTGTTTGAAGTATCTATTAAGCGGGTACACGTACCATATCCGATTTGCCTGCTGAAAACGTACTACGCAATCTAAATCTGAACCGTTGCCTAGGAATGAGAGCTATAATTAGACTATTTGCAATTATTTTCTCTAAATAACGCCAATGGAATACTCCTCACAAAAAAGCGACAATTGTTAAGCATTTCCGCATTTGCATTTGTAAGAGGGAAAATTTAAGAGTGCTGTCAGGAAATCCCCATGGAAGGGAATTGACAACTTTGAGAAAACAGCAGGCGCTCAGAGGTGAAAGGAAATCGCCAGGATAAGAAGTTTAGATATCGACAGGAGTGACTAAACCTCTGTCGGAAAGACGTCAAAGAATAGGCAATTAGGTTAAAATTGCAAAGCCGGTCCAGTTCTTTAGTTCGCAAAGCTCTCGAACAACCGTCTACTCAGCGATAAAACAGTTTGTTAAGGGGAATGCTGTAAGGTATACAAAGTTATTTTATCAAATGGAAGGCAAATCATGTTAGAATGCATATAGAGTACAATTTTAAACTAGACTTCCAACTGAGTACAGGGACGACCAAGAGCAACATGGACAATTAATGATACGCCTTCAAACATTTACACAGTTAATGTAACACATATAAAATAATAAGAATGTTATAAAAGCCCTTCTGTCAAAAGATGTGAGGTTTAATTCGACATCTGGAGAGTCGCCTTTCAACTTAATTTGGAAGATAAATCCTAAACGGGTGAAAGGTTTATTCAAGGTTATATCAAAAGTGTAAAGCTTAGCAGTAAACATAAATTCGAAAAAGACTGCTTTTGTTCGCAACATAAAGTTGCTCAGAGCTACTGACTTGACGTTGATAAGTTTTTAAGACCAAGAGAGACGACTTTTCGCTACGAGCTGAAAGGAAACCAACCAAAATCAATCATTCTTCGCATACTTCGCCAGAGGTCGGCAAAGACCGAATCTTACATGTCTCTCTAGGTTTCAATCGAGTAAAGCAAAAATGAATTTTATTTTTTTGTGTCTAAAAATTGGGGAATGATTCAGCCCGACGCACCCATTTGTGGCTCATATCTCATGCACTGTTTGGCTTTGTAATAGTAATGGAGAAAGACTGACCTAAGCAAGAAGTCTCTGAAATTGTCTTTCATCCCGCTCTTTCACATCATTTGTTTCACTCTGTTAAAAAAGTCTTTCGCCAGCCTACTCCTACATTAGGGACAAAGTGCAAGAAAAAGTTGTGGTTTTTCTATTCTTTTCAGAGGCTGTTGGAAGTGGAAGGGACGATAATCAAGAAATGAAATTGAAGATTTCAAAGCTGGAAGAAGCCTTAAATCTCACCCGCTTTCAAGTTCAAAAACTCAAGATCGAACTACAGACACAAAAGAAAGCGATGGAGAACCTAACAGTACAGGTGAACATAATCCTCTGTCAAATGCCTGGCATGGAAATCAATGAAACATGAGAATTTTTCCTCTTCTTCTTTCTCCAGGAACAAAGCTGCAGCCACTGCACTGGTCCACCAGGCCCTCCAGGCCCACGCGGCCAAATGGGACCGCCTGGCTCACCAGGGGCCCGGGGACCCGTTGGTCCTATGGGTCCCAATGGTACAGCTGGACCAGCGGGTCCTCGAGGTTTAAACGGTTCTCAGGGCTCACCAGGGCCTCGCGGTATTCCAGGAGCAATGGGCCCGCGCGGATATAATGCATCACGAGGATTACCAGGCCCCCAAGGACCAGCTGGAAAGAACACGGCTTGGAATGTGAGCCTTTGTCAGCACAAGAACAAGAAGGAAGTTTCACAAACAGCAGGGCAGTCAGCAAATTCAAAAGTCATTCTACGAGAGGATGAACACCCGGTAGGCTCACGTCACCTTCTGCTTAACACTAAGTCTTGAAATCGAGGTGAATGGTGGTAGAGTGTTTAGTAAGCCGAGAGACTAATTGTCTTAGTGTCCACGTACGAAGCGATGTCAACGGTTTATCTGACGGATGCCAGTTTTAAAATATAAAAGCTACTGTAGGTAATCAAAGTCAATTATTTTGAGACTTGTAAAGCTGATGCTTGAATTTAAACGAGTACACCTACTGAAATCCTCGATTTGAGTTTCGAACCGATTCTTGAACCTAAATCAATTAATTTTCAGTGCAACCCAAACTATTAATAATTTCTTTGTTCAAGACAAACGTACTTATTTTCTAATTTTTTTGTCCCAGGGGATGAAGATTGTTGCAGCTACTTGTTCAACGCACAATGCTGCAGAGTACGTCTTTGGTGATGTAAGAATTGACCCCACAACAGGAACCATTGTGTACAATTGTCACTGTAAAGGAAAATCACAACTGTTTCTTGGCGCAAACATGCAGTGTATTATTCACTACTGGATCTGTCCAATCAGAAATTAAATAGTTTAGAAATGTGAGGATCATCTGTTAGGCAAATAAAAATTGTTACATGTAATTTAAGTATATGATAATGTTTTCTCTGGCAGCTCCGTAATTCATTGATTCAATGATGTAAAGTAATTTTAGTGCTGGCCCGATCCCACGTCTTTCTATTTCGCCACGGAAAGGGAGGGGGGGGTGGGTCGAGAAGTAGAGAAAAGAAGACTGTAGGAAAATGGTTGATTTGGCTGCACAAAAATGACGACTGACTAAAAGACATGAAAACTTTTTTTAAACAAATTTCACGTTTTTCCGACAAAGTCAGCTAAAAAGGTAACTGGGGTGGATGGGTGGAGAAACAAATCGATGGATGAATGACAAGATATATAAATAAATCTATAACACTTCGATCATTAGCAATTACGGCAATCATTTTTATGACAAAGGGTTTTCGTTACCTTGAACATATGAACTACAAATTAATGCTCGTTTCCAAATCAATGTTTATCAATCCCTGGTAGATCGAAACATTAAAAGAGAAAAAATGTCTAAACCACTTGTAGTTTGTCTTTTCAAAAAAATCTGCCCGTAATCTCAACCAAAGACTTCTGACCACTGGCATAATTGTCGGTTTTTTTCTTTTTATTTTGCAGTACTGCATTCTTATGTACATTACTTGGGACCAAGCAACAATAAAACCTCGTTTTAGTTCTGGTACGTCTCATTTGTCTTGTTCTGGAGAGAATATGCTAGTTACTGAAATAAACCCATGTCTGAGTCAGAGAAATTAATATCTGGCCGTGAAGCGAAGCTTCGAGGGCAAACGTGAAATTTTGAGGGCAATCTCCAAGCCAAAGACATCAGCAGCCGACAGCAAGCTAGGAGGTTTATTTATTTTGTAACCGTCACATTAATTTTCGTATCGCGCTTTAACAGCAAATTCTGTTGACTTTGTTGTACTTTCTGGAGCAGCATTTGAGATCAACTTTTTAATTTCACTATCAGTGGACTCTTACGAAACGAGTTCGTTTTTATTCCATGTAAAGTAACAAAGATGAAGAGGGGAAACTCTTGATCTGTCTTTTTCCGCCTGCTTTTTTCTTTTGGATGAAAATAATCGGAGGACAAATATCGACGTAGATGAGGGTCATTGCGTGATAACTATCCGGTGATTTTGGACCACGAGACGTAAAGTAGCCGATAGAATCACACGAAAATTAATCGGTCGGTTAAAATATATCTTACTTCCGTTTGCTCGTGAACTTCTATTATTTCAGTGCCTGCGCTTCGCGCTCTGATAAAATTAGTCAAAGTCGTGATAAAAAAAAGAAAAGACGAGAAAAGTAATCGAAGAGGATGGAAAGACGGTTAAATGGATGGATGGATCGCTGATTAAATAAAAAGGCATGAATAATTAATCAATTAAAGCAATAATTTTTCTTTGTATGACCAAGATATCTTCTCTTGCTATGATAAAGGGCATTTGTTACCTTACACAAATGAACTACAACTTTTGGTCAACAATGGTCTCCAAATAATCCCTTTCAATCGAAAAACATGAAATGTCTATTACAAGACAATTAAATTCACCAAGACCACTTGAACTTTATATTTTCGCTAAATCTACCCATTCTCCTCTAGTGCGTGTGGAGAATCATAACATCAACAGCAACAACAAACAAATAAATAAACAAAAATAATTATTAATTTAGTTCTACGATTTAATTGAGGATCACAGACTCGGATTAGTTAATTATCCATATGATGTACAGCTTTCGTAGATGCGTATAGTACAATTTAGAAAATATGTTTTACGACGCATTTGCCTTTTTTTGCACAAAGGAGAGAAAAAGGAAAAGAGAGTAAACTTCTTATTGGTGTCCATACTAAATGCGAGGTCGACTTTAAGGCGACTTACTTAGATGTCCGTGTGAGTTCATCCAGTTGATGTAAAGAGTTACGTCGTAAAGTAGTAAATTGCTCTAAAGTACATTTTGGCTCCTCCAGAAATGTTCGGCTGATGGATAGTTCTAGAAATAATGGAAAAATGCGATTAAACATCGTTCGGTAACCCATCGACGAACAAATCTTACCACACACGAAAATCAAGAAAAAAAAGATTTGAAATGCAATAGTAGAGGACATAACCCGTAAGGCGCATGCCGGGTAATTTGAGAAGATTAGAATAACAAAAGCCCTGGTGCGATGAACATCTTTCGACTATTCAGAAAATGAAAACATTCCGGGTGTTTGAGGTTAAACATGTTTTGGGTTTAACTACGGATTGAAATAGCTCGCATCAGTTAAGAAATTTCGTGATGTACTTTGTACTTATCCAAGGTTTTTTTCTTGCCCTCAGAGGCACCGCATAACGTTCAAGAAGGATCCAAGAAATCGATAGAGGATCATAAAATAAACTGTGTTCATATTTGTCTCACACTACCTTCACTTCGTAGTTTGCTGTTCCTTTTGTAACAATCGCTTAGCCTCGACAATTGTCCTACGATATAACTGGCGCTTAACTTATTTGGTTCTCAGAAAATCTGCAACAGTACCTGGAACTAATACGACCCACTTGACTGACCAGGAATCCTCGCGTTCACGATCTGCCTCTGGAAAGTCACCACCGTCCGCAAATTGGCTATCTTTGAAGATAATCAGGCTACCAATTGAGCCACATAATTGACTTTTACTACTCTGACCCAGCAGATCAGGATAACATAGCGCTAAGCGTTTCATAGTAACCTTGAAGTTGCCTTGGTCTGAAATCATAACAATCAAACAAGGAAGCATAAGGCAAACGAAAACTTAATGCTAAAGACTTCAATCTGTTTTATGAAGGACTTCAGGCGAGAAGAAATTCGAATAAAACAAGGCATAAACGTCAATTAAGCGTTTGCTCTTGCCATCTCCGGATGACGCAATGGCCAAAAGGTTAGCGCTTGACCTCGGGTCGAAAGGTCTGACAGAGTCGTCGATTTGTGTTCAGTTCAGCAATATACTTTACTCTCACAGTTTCCTTCTGCACCCGGAAGTATAAATGGGTACCAGCGAACCATCAGGAAAATATGTTAAACTGTCTAGGGGTGATTTGCAGTGGAATAGGAGTCTATGACAGGGGAGTAGCAGAACTCCTTGTCAGTTTAAACAAAGAAAACCTAGACAAGCTGCAGCATTATGGGCCACTTTAAGTAGTCCAGCTACGGCACAAAAGTAGGATCATTATCAGACAAAGGAACAAATAACATGTACATGTTGGAACCTTCTCTGCTACATCTTATTTCAGCTTTACCTGGATAAAACGAGACTCGTATCATTTCTCCAGAGCCAGTCTTATCCAACTTCACGATGTTAAACTGTAGCTCAAACGGATTTCCTGACATCATTAAACACCTTGGGAGAGAAGTAAGTTAGTAACAAAAAGTATTTTGGAATTGGCATAATTGAATTAAGAAACGTTCCACACTCGCAGCCTAGTCCGTCATCTGCTAGCACCTCCGTGCACTGAATATTCGCTGTCGACTTAGTTAACATAATGACAAAATAAATGCCACTCTCCTTCTTCGACAATCTTTCCCAAAATCGTTCCCAGGGCCTCTCTACTTCCGCACCAGGGGAATGAAAAACGAAACCGAGTGCGCTTTTTAACATTCTTCAACAAAGCAACGTTACAAAGCTGACTCCACGCTTTCTTTGATAAAGGAAACATTAAGAACACGGTTGTCAATTAGTTTGGGGGTTAAGGCGAAATGTGACAGATCAAAAACCCAAGGGGAAAAAGACCAGGTACGTAAGGTATAAAAGCGAAGCATAAATCCTTTACAGGGAGGTTCGTTCTCATTCCGTTCAAGTCAGTTTCCAGTTACCTTTGAGAGCTACTCTGTTCCATGTCGAAAAGAGCCTCGCCTGTGCAGTGCATCTTTCTCATGGTGTGCAAACACCAAATACTTACTTTGCCGCTGGATGTGAGAAGTACAAGATATCTATCTGAAAAGATTAAAAGTACAAGAAAAGCTCTAAGATTTAGACAGCACTGTGCGAAAACATCTCACGCTGCAAACAATAAGCTGTTCGTACACATTTTTTTCACGCACGTCGCAAAATACATGAAGGATGGCTTAGTTTTCCTCGTGCTTCGCTCTTGAAAACTGTTCGCATCTTGGAACAGATAATGTCCGCAGACAAATATCCATAAGTATTTTCGAGCCATTGCTTATTGTTTATTGGCTATTGTTTGAATATTTTCCGAACCTGTGGCGAATAATTGTTTTAGCATAGCTGCTCAGGTGCTTTCAAATCCTTTTGTAAATGTAAATCCATGCCGCTGTTGAAAACTTTGCGTATCTTTTGTTATAATTGTTTTGATTACTAACTTGTATCAAGACAAGCAGTCAGTATCCACTACAATTTAACAGGGAAAAATTGACAGTTTAGTTTTGAAAGTGTTGCACCTTTCGTACTCTTCAGAATTGAATTTTGGTCTATCGCGTTTATCACTTCCTCGGTAACATTGCCTAGAGCGGGGTAGCCATTTTGAAATTAAGCGTTCCTGCTATAATCAACTCGCGTGAGGAAAATATAGTGAGATATCACGCAATACTCGACTAATTAGAGCGCGCGCATCTCCACAATCACCCGAGCAGTTATGCTAATAATACATAATCACAAAACAGGCATTGAGAACATAAAAATTTCAAGAAAGATGTGAGCCATTGGCCACGACCGAGGGATGAACAGCAACAAAATAAAAAAACAAAACAAAAATTCGAGACCAAACAGAACGATTCGAATGGCAGACCTTCGGATTTCCGCGCTCGGATGCTCTACAGATCTTGAAGACTCAAGCTCGTTCCTGAGTTATGCCATTTTTGGGTTCAAATGCAACAAGCGTCCCACAAACCGCTGTACACCTATCATTTAGAGGGTATCATTTTTATATAACATCAAATTCTCTCAACAAACGTGTAGGGTAATGTATGGTGGTATGAAAGGAGAAGTGCGTATCAGATATTGGGAAGTACATGGCCAAACACAAACCTGCAGTGATACAGCAGCTTTCGACTGGACAGGGGAATAGCAGCGTTTTCCACTCTTCAATTTGCGACTCATATACGTACGCTAAGAGGGGCAAGACGGCTACTATCACATAAT